CTAAACTGTTTCTATCAGAAACAAATTTGAGGTCTCTTAAATGTGATAAATCTACTTACATTCGATAACACATCAAGTTGTATCATTGTAGTGTCAGGAGAGTCACTATTATTACCTTCCTATGTAAAGGATAATGATTTGATTATCTGAAAGACCAAAAACGACTTTTCATCAGTTACCTGTTCAGTTTACAATAATTTATACTCAAAATTATAAGGTCACAGAGCTTCATATGTTGTATCGTACGAAATTATACTTAGAAGGCTACATCTGAATTTGTGTCATAAAATCTTTTATCATTTAATTCGAAGACAAAAAGTATTTGCTGAAGTATACTATTTCACGTGTTTCAAACGATGTCATATGAAAATCTGTCACAAATCCTTTTAGTATGTATAACGAAAGTAAGATAAATTTTCCACTATATGTAAGGCTGGCGAAATTCAGGCTCCACTACCAAAAGAAATATTGAAAGGAACCCAAACATTATTTATATAAGTCATGCTGCGAAATTATGGACATTTATTTTCATTCTGTTAAACGACAGTGGTATAATTCCGTCGGTGCGCAGTTCTGAAAAATTGAATAGTCCGCGTTTAAGTATTAGTCTATTGGCCATCATGCATTATATCAAGTGTTCGGACTTATTAACGTACCTATAGGTATTTCCAGAAGTAATACGAGGAATCGTTTTCAATTTAGATACCTGGGCGAACCTATAACGATAATTCCAGACAGACAAAAATTCTGATCCGCAAATCTATCAGCTTCACCCTCTGTGTTATCACAGACATGGTGACTGTGTTTGACAGCTCATGCATAAGATTAAGAAGTTTCAAAGTTCCAAGGGATTATTTCAAATGTAATAGGAGCAATACACGAGGAATAAAATGTCACAGTAATCTTGTTTTTTCGATTCAGGTTTCCGGATTGCACTGTAACTATATCATTGTCAAAAAACAACTCACTGCAGAGATTATATAAACGCTTTCAACAAATTACTGATGATTTTCATCCTGGTATACGGAGACTTTGCAACGTAATAAAGTGAGTGGTGAACCAAATGGATCGAGAATCCAAGGGTTCACTACAGAAATTTGGTGATAGAATGTAGAAATAAATGGTACAAAATAGAGAAGTGCATGACACTGGTTATAAAAAATTGTAGGAACTGATCGATATTAGATTATTCATGCAGGGTACCATACAATAATATTTTTCACATAAAATCTTGTCGGAGTGTGTTGCAAGGCTTACACTTGTAAAAAGATCGTGATGTACTTTAATTAACCGGTTAATATGTTGATGACATTACCCCGTTAAATTAGGTTGTTCATATGAGTTTCAGTATTTTAGATGTCTTCACTGAAAAACAAAACAACTCACAGTCGTCAATATATTTCAAGACTTTCAGAGGTATGATACGGGAGGATGAAAATCAACGAAATGAGGAAGTCAAGTTGTGGCAGTCGGAATTCTTCCAAACAAAAATGACATTTTGGAAGTCGTTATTCATTACACAATTACTAGTATTATCATGGTTTAACCCTTTCACTAGGTGTTCATTCCTTTTCTCTCTCTTTTTTCCATGTAAATAAATAATATTCTGAAGTTTGAGAAGTTTGTAATCAAGACAATAACTTGTGTCACACTTAAATGAACTTCTCAGACTCGTTTTATCGTCACTATATATATATATATATATATATATATATATATATATATATATATATATATATATATGACCCATACATATTCCTATATGGTCATACTTTTCGTTTGATTGTGACTTTATAACATCACTCCAAACTATAAATGCACAAACACTTATTCTAGCGTCATATCTTACTGCAATAACAAGTTATTTTTTCATAGTTATTTTCAGTTTTATTTTCGTTACTAATTTGACGATATATACATAGTCATTTATTATTGTTCTGTATTCATAAACACGCCTATTAAACTGTTTGCGTATTTCACGCCTCCTTTATTTCTATTTCCTTATTTTCTTCTTTTCCTTCTTTAAACTCAATTCAATATCCTTCTCAATTACACAGAACCTGATTTATTATTATTATCCTATTATCATTACTCTTTTTCAAATATAGCGAGTATAATGCTAACACTATTGAAACTTGTGTATTATTTCATTTTTGAAGAAATTCGAAATGGTTTCTTCACAACGCTAATGTACCTATATGAAGTTTTTGAATAATCATAATAACTTGTTACAAGTTTTAGTATGTAAACAAACGAGAGGCCAGAATCAATGGATAATAACCAGTTTTATTACATAAATTCCCATCCTGGGTCACATATAATACAATAGACAGACAGCAGTTGCAGCGGTTGGAATATCGACGTTCATAGTGTAATTAAATATTCCCAGGAGCTAAAACAGAAATAAGGAACAAACAGTGGCTCGGGAATATGTCTATTCAACAATTACAGCAAACTCATTCACTGATACAACAATACTAGCACGATATTATTCCCAACTGCCTAACTAACAATAACATGATCAAATATCTCCCATACTTTCGTTCGATATTGTTGCTGACCTTGAAATCCAACCACGAACTGTATGTCTCAGACACGATACAAACATGAATGGACCATAATATGGAAACTCCTGGACTAAATAATGGAATATCACCATGATCAAAACGGATCAAGGGTATCAACACCTCAGCTCCTCTGGTAGAGAAATATAGGCGTACACTAAAACGCACTTTATTGAACTGTCGAGTTTAATTACGCAGAACAAAATGGAGCGTGAGGTCACCCTTTCAAAAACACGGAACTCTTCAAAATGCAGTATAAAATAATATGAAGTGTGATCCCTACACAAAATAAGTATTTGAATGAATACTCAGATTTTAATGTTCTAATGTTTACTTAGATGTTTTTGGCCAACTTGTAACCAGTTAACATAATTTGTTAAAAAATCTCTGGATCTATCAATCATTTAATGTAATAAGTACGAAAGTATAAGAGTTCGAAGACGGCGTGAGATCGAGGTCTTACGTGAGGGTGTAGCGTGGTGTCGAGTGGTGATTGACTATGAACACCGCTACCAAGAAGCTCGTTCCAAATGAATCCATAAAATCCCGAAGAAACCAAATATCAGAAGGCAATTAATGGACCAAGTCGATGTTTATTTGCTGGAGATCTCGTGGCATCGAAAGAATACCGAGATCGTGCCAGGATATATATATATATATAACCACCAGCCTTACAATTAATCATACTTGAGTCACATATTGTCACACAATAGTTTGAATCAGCCCATGATGTATACATATATATGTCTGCGGTTTGTTTTAAAAGTTAACAATAGCTACGATTTATCGGAAATGGGTCACTACATACTGCACTACCCTCACGTAAGACCTCGATCTCACGCCGTGTTCGAACTCTTATACTTTCGTACTTATTACATTAAATGATTGATAGATCCAGAGATTTTTAACAAATTATGTTAACTGGTTACAAGTTGGCCAAAAACATTTAAGTAAACATTAGAACATTAAAATCTGAGTATTCATTCAAATACTTATTTTGTGTAGGGATCACACTTCATATTATTTTATACTGCATTTTGAAGAGTTCCGTGTTTTTGAAAGGGTGACCTCACGCTCCATTTTGTTCTGTATCACGACCTAAATAAAGACTTACTCACTACTAGTCCGGTTTCTTCTCTCAATGGGATGAAGAGTACCTACCGGTCCGAAAGATTTACAGGTCATTTACTGCAATGAATCCTATTAATTATTTTCCAGATACAAGGGACCACGATTTCAGAATTTACAATTTGCTTTTACAGCAACAAGCTAGTGAAGCAAACCAACGCTTCCTAATATACGATACCTTGGACTGCTATAGATTAGTTTCAGAGTCCGAAAGCGTTCAAAAGACATTCCGTTAATTGAGTTGGGCTCCAAAACGTCACAGGCACGAAAGATGATGAGCGACTACAAGTGCCAATGCCATGTTTGCCAGCTCACTTTTGTCATATACTGTGATCTGAGGGCAGAATACTATTAAGCTAACGTTCAGGGAAAATGTAAATTATGAAAGAGGCCTAAAATGTTTTAATATATTAATACCTTAATCATCTGTATTTCAGCTTGCCAAACACTGTTTACTCTCAAGTGAGTGGAGGACAAACATTGACCAGAGTTGCTTGAGTTTGATTTCCATAGGTTATGTGAACGACAAAAAAGCTGTGAAGATAAGGTGCTTCTTGGTTAACGTAAACATTAACGCGAGATACCACTGTTCAGGGCTTTGTCTGCCTTCTAAAGAAATGACGTCATGATTTAAGTGCTACAATGTAATCTCGAATTTTCACAACACCAGACAGCCTTATCGAGAATATTCTGTCAAGATGATGTAGTCCCAGTTTCCTTAGGAAGTAGCATACAGTTAGGACAAATAACCACACATATTATTAAAGGCCAGAGCAGCAGATGAACAGTCCAAAAAGACCAGTTACATTCACTAATTTTAATATGAATGTTGTCTATTATTTCGTTTACTCACAAGTTATTTTCTTTCTACTATCACAATCACTTGTATAAAGGAAGTATACCAAATTATACGTAAATCTATACGGTATTAGGACGCAACAGTTTGGCCTCATATTAAGGGATAACTTAATGCCTGTAAAAATCTGTCGGTTGTATTTCACGCGTAAAGAGACAGTGGAAAATCCCCTCGTAATGTTGAAAAGGCTAGTTCAAGCATTTTCAAATCAGTAATCCACCAAAATATTAAAATAACATAAGTTATCCGTTAAATAAGCAAATTAGAGATATTGGAAGCCATCCTGAGAGATTATTGCTCAATAACTTGACTCATTATAGTAAAAGTTGTAGAAATTTTCGCAAAATTTCCAATATCAAGTAAACTCGTTCATTGAATAATTCAAGTTTAATATTTTGTTTTACAGATGTTTAAAGTATGAAGATTGTATATCGAATAATAGTAATAGACTCATATAAAACGAAACGCTACCGTCAAGCAACTACCGTTGTGAAGAAAATATGGAATACTGAAGCTCATTAAGAGTTTGTATCTTGTCTGTTAAGTTGAAATATGGATATTCCAGCTGATGACCACTTAGTTGGGTTGGGTTTTGATGTAAATCTTCGTATAAAACTTAACATTTTTAAAAGGTGGATGCTTCGGTTGTAAATAAGAAGAAAAAATTCAAATCGTTAAAAGCTAAACGGTATAGGTTATCTCATAACATCAAAGTTTCAGTAATAAACAAGCAGAGCAAAATACCTCGTCCCATCTATTCATTTGGGAGCAAATCCTGTCAGATTAGTGACCTGATTTCACATAACTTGTCCGGGCTAGGATACAAAACTCCAACACCCATACAATCCCAAAGCATTCCGATTATGATGCAGGTTGGTCTGTTGATGTTATTTTATCTTTTCGCACATTTTCAGCTTCATTCTTGCCATAGCTATAAACCATTATATTTACATGCATTACACTCGAGTATTTCATGTTTTTGTTAGAAAATTCGTACTAAAACTTTGTCGGTACCTTTAGTAGATAATGTGACTTAATGTAACATTACGTCGCATTGCTGGATCCCAGTTCGCATATGAGTGAAGAACTGGTTCCCCCTTTTTCTGTGTATTGAAATGTACAATAAAAGTCGCTACAACTCAGTACTTTCGGCGAAATCTTGTCGCTTTCTCAAGTAAGCTGACTTCGTTCTACCAATGCTTTTTACCGCTATCAAAAAGGTCGCTCGATAAAGAGTATGGATATATGACATTAACTAGTATATGGCTGACCAGAATAATTTGACTTAGCATCTTCAAGCAACAGAAATATGAATTACAGCCGTTAAGTTTAACAAAGTATTGTTTACGTAAATTTGACAAGTCAATAATATTTACTTATGTATCAATCATTCAGATCATTAACTCGTGTAATGTCTTGTTTTAGAAACGTTTTTAAATCGTTAGTATGTTAAGTCAGTATTTCTCAGTGCGTTGGTAGATTATTTTCCCATGATTTTTAAAGATGTAACATATAAATTAGATCTAATAATTTATAACCTAATTATTAACTCATCATAAGTTTTGCTACCAAACCTCAGGTTGGGCCATCATTATTGAAAAGTGTTGTAGGCAAAGCTGGCGTAAAGAAGCACTTATGAGAGCATCCTGGTAGTTAGTATTTCCTTGATAATTTTTTCTCAATCAAATTTGATGTAGGCAGAATCGTTATTGTCTGCCATCTTTAATGTGAGTAAAATAGTAAGATGACGACCTAGTGGTGTACTATCGCAATCAGTCAGATAATATTTTCACTTCAAGAGTCTATAGTTTCAAATTCACCAGACATTTGGCTCTTTTAATTCTTTCCTCGTTTATAAATTGACCGGTTTTCAAGATCATTGTGATAAACCTTCACTGTGTTCCTTATTGTGCTTTTGTAGCACCGTAACCTACTTGCATGTGCACCAACAGGTTCCGGGAAAACAGCAGCTTATCTTCTCCCAGTGCTCACTCAGTTGCTAAATACAAATTCCTCTGGAAATTCCGAGCCCATTGACAATATAACTGAGAAGACATCATCGAAACATAAAATATTCCCATTTGCTGTGATCTTGGCTCCAACTCAGGAACTAATGCATCAAATTCGTTCCGAGGCTATTAGGCTATTTTCTGGAATTCAAGCAGACTGTTATATAGCAACGTTGCACAAAAAGCATTATCTTGTTCGTTGCAGAAAGAAGGCAAAGAACGTTCCTGAAAATAATGTTTTAACAATGAAATCAAGAAAAGTTCGTGAATTAAAATTACCCTCCAGCACTAAAATCCTCATTTCTACACCTAGTCGACTAAGTACTCTATTGTCTCTTCCACCAGAATATTGTCCCATTGATTTATCCAGGTTTGTTTGCTGTCGTTAGCTTTTATAAACTATAAACAAATCTCCTTACCTGTTTCCCCATTCACTGAATTTTATGCTATTATTATTTATTTTTATATTATTATTATTTTATACCATGGCCTACATCAAAGTAGATTCCTATATGTCTTGTTTCTAGACTTTTATGCTAACCAGCTTAATTTTGTTCGGATATATTGGGTTTTCATTTGCTTTATCGAAAACCGTGTCTGATAAAGGAGGAAAGCACTAGTAGCGTGGAAATTTTCATGCCATAAATTAGTTTAATGCCCTAACCTACGCCTGACAGAGAAGCAGAGGCTGCCACCAACATTCTTTGACAAACTCTGTACTAGGAAATCCTTTCCAGTTGCTATTCATTCTTTTGATATCCGCCTTTAGTTCCTGACGCAATGTGTTCTTTAGTTTTCCTCTTTATACTTTCCTGTCAGGATTCCTAGTCAGGGTTTGCCTCGTGATGCAGTTTGGTGATATCCACAATAAATGTCCCATCTACCTCCATCGAGTTCTCCTAATTCCCTCCTCAACTGAAAGTTGGTTTGTTCTCTCCCACAGTATTTTGTTGCTGATAGTGTCCGACCAACGGATATTAAGTATCTTGCGTGGGTGATTGTTTAAATATACTTGTACACTTTTGATGACGGTTGTGGTAGTTCTCAAGGTTTCGGCTCCGTACACTAGAACTATCTCGACGTTCGTATGGGAGATTCCGACTTTGGTGTTGGCTGACAGTTGTTTTGAGTTCCATATGTTCTTCAACTGTAGTAGTGCTGCCCTTACGTCTGGATCAGATCCTCTTTTTTCGTCGATGATGCTGATCACGTACGTGGAAATTCCCACATCTACCAGAGCTTCTCGATCAAGTGTGATTGGATTGGCGTTCTCTGTGTTGTATTTGGAGATCTTGGTTTATCGCTTATTCATGTTGAGGCTTACTGCTACAGAGGCTGCTGCTACACCAGTTGTCTTCACCTGCATCTGTTGGTGTATATGGGATAGAAGAGTTAGGTCATCTGAAAAATCCAAATCGTCTAGCTGCATCCAAACTGTCCATTGTATTCCGTGCTCCTCTTGAGATGTGGAGGTTTTTATAGTCCAATCGAACACAAGAAGAAAAAAAGTACGAGATTAAGCGAACTTGTCTGACACTGGTCTTCACTTGGAATGCATTTATTAGCTTGCCTCCACGCATGATTTTGCAGTGTAGTCCGTAGTACGAATTCCGAATGATGTTGATGCCCTGGTACGGCCGAGAGTGGGGAGAGTCCGTTCTCCCTCTCGAAATACTCTCACACGGCCAAGCGTATACAGCCTCTGCCAGGGAAGTCCTACTCATTGCCTTCTCGTGGCGGTGGTGTTGTTTACGAAAATAAGAGGACGAAAAGCGAATGTCCGGCGCTTTAACCGGATCCCAAACCAATGGTGCACATGGTCTCCAGTATCCTGCGGGAACAAATGGCGTATGAACCAATCGTTGGTCACCGGCTACCATAGGACTGCATCTCCTTACGGTGCTCCACTGCCTTGTGGGTTAGATCTTAAGGTCAAAGGCTCGGGGTGTGGCCCACTAAGATAATCATCTGCTTCGGTCTGGGCACCCGGGCAGTATCGCAGCCCACACGCAAATGATGAACTCTCTATATCTATGGAAACTACTTTTCTCGCTTCAAATAACAATCAAATGATTCAAATTATTATTATTATTATTATTATACTTATTATTGTTATTATTTACCACATTATTCACCCTCTTTTATACTTATACAGCGGCTCGTCTTTGGTGGAAATTCGACTGTATCTAAACGTTCTCGAGTCACTGTCCGGTTGAAAATTGTATGTTACCACCGATTACGAGAACTGAAACAGTTTTTCTGAAACCACGTGCACCATTCAAACTGGCTGCCTTCAACGTTCGGACACTTATGCAGGTTGGACAACAGATAGGGCTGACTATGTCTTTGGAAAGTCTTCATATCGATGTCTGCTGTCTATCCGAGACCCGTATTCAAGACTCTGGTAAAGTACTACAAATTCGATCCCCATCTGTCGCTTCGAAAAGTTTGTTTTACGTGTATCTGGGGACCCTGTGGCATCTTCGTCTGGTCTTTCTGGCGTTGGTGTCGCACTAAGCACTAGAGCTGAGGCAGCACTAATCGATTAGATCCCCATTAACAGTCGGTTATGTGCTGTTAGATTAGAGAGTTCCATCGAAGTGAGAAGAAATCGGCGTGAGAAACGATGTCTTTTCGTCATCTCCGCCTATGCCCCGACAGATTGCAGCCCGGATGCAATCAAGGATGAGTTTTACCTATCAGTTATCTGTTCTTCTCCAGAAAGTGCGTTCGACAGATATTGTAGTACTAGCCGGAGACTTGAATGCTCTAGGCACAGAAGAGAGTCGTTTAGGTGGCCGATGGGGACTTGTTGGTCGCAGAACAGATAACGGGGGCCGACTACTGCAACTGTGCACAGACCGCAACCTGTTTCTGGCTAACACTAACTTTCGGCACAGTCATCGCCGATATGCCACCTGGCTTCCTCCCTCTGCATCCCAAACCTGGACTCAGATTGATCACATCGCGACCAGCTACCGCTGGTGTGGTTGTGTAAAAGACTGCCACTCCTTTTGGAGTACTTATCTGGACTCTGACCATGCCTTGGTCTGCGCCAATCTTACCTTACTTTTCAGTTGCCAACGAAGTGACCGCCACCAACGGATCGATGCTAGCAAGCTGGTTGCAACTTCTGTTGCTAGTAAGTATCGAACCGAGCTAGCTGCTAGGCTAGCTACCATTCCACCGAAAAATATAGATGAGCATTGGTCGCAATTGCATGATGCCATGAAAATGGCGAATAAAGTCAGTTGTGAGTTCGCGAAACGTCCCACTTACAAGCACTGGGTTCCTTCAGGTTCCTTACAACTCATTGAAGCCCGTCGGTCTACTCCGAGTGACCGTGAGTTTGACCATAAACGAAGGATGTTACGTAAGGAAATTGGGAAAAGCTTGCGTAAGGACCGAGAAGCCTGGTGGTCGAATCGTGCTAATGAGCTGGAAGCAGCAGCTGCATCTGGTAACTACCGGGAGCTCTTCCAGCTCATCCGAGCCACTGGCAGCAAGAAGTCTGGTGTGAGTGAAACAATCTGCGAGGATGATGGGATGCCAATCATTAACATCCATCGACGTCTTGGACGATGGGCAGAATTTTTCGAAGGGCAGTTCAACTGGCCTGCTGCTCCGACAACATCGGTCAGACTGTCCTGCCCCCCATGGCCGGTGACGACTGATCCACCAAATGAGGAGGAAGTCCGCAAGGAACTCCAACTCTTGAAGCGTTACAAATCACTTGGCCCAGATGACTTAACTCCGGCTCTTTTTAAAGATGGTGGTGACTTTCTGACTAAGGAATTGACGACGTTGTTTACAAAGGTTTGCGAACTAGAGAGTGTACCAACGTCATGGAATGAGTCGATAGTTGTCCCTATCTTTAAAAAGGGTTCACGTTGTTCCTGTAACAACTATCGGGGGATAAGTCTACTTCCGATCGCGTCCAAGCTATTGGCTTCCGTCATACTTCGTAGGTTGTTCAAAACCCGAGAAAGATTGACTCGTGAGGAGCAGGCTGGGTTTCGTTCTGGTCGAGGATGTATTGATCATATCTTCACCCTCCGCCAAATGTTAGAACATCGCCATACTTATCAAAGGCCAACAATCGTAGTGTTTCTTGATATCAGGGCTGCCTTCGATTCGTTGGACAGGACTGTTTTCTGGGATTGTCTATTGAAGAACCATGTGCCTGAGAAGTTTATTAACATCCTAAAAGCCCTATATACAAACACCTCAGGCAGAGTGAGGGCATACAACCACCTCTCTCCATTGTTCCATTCGGGCAGTGGGGTTAGGCAGGGTTGCCGAATCTCACCATTCCTCTTCAACTTTGCCATCGGTGACATTCTGGAAACAGCTCTGATGGATGCAAGTAATGGTGGTTTGGATCCGTTGCCTGGAGAAAGACTTCTCGACCTTGAGTATGCGGATGATATTGTCTTACTGTGCGATAATGCCCAAGGAATGCAATCCGCACTTAATCAGTTGGCAGTCAGTGTCTGTAGGTATGGAATGTGCTTTGCACCTTCGAAGTGCAAAGTACTTCTACAAGACTGGCAGGATTCTAATCCTGTACTCACCCTGGATGGTGAACAGATAGGAATAGTGGAGAAGTTGGTGTATCTAGGTAGCTGCATAAGTGCAGGTGGTGGCATGAGTGATGAGATCAATGCACTTATAGTGAAAGCCAGAGCGGTTTATCTCACTCTAAGCCATCTTTGGCGCCTTTGTGATGTTAATCTGGCTGTAAAAAGTCGGATCTACAATAGCGTCGGTGAGAGCAGTTCTGCTCTATGCTTGTGAAACCTGGCCTCTCCGAGTTGAGGATGTTAGACGACTCTCTGTGTTTGATCATCGTTGTCTCCGAAGGATTACTGACACTCAGTGGCAACACCATGTTAGTAATGGAGAGGTTCGGCATCGTATGTTCGGGCACAGAGACGATAATTCAATTGGTGTCACCATCGTGAAACACCGACTTCGGTGGCTTGGACATGTTCTACGAATGTCGTGCCAGAGAATTCCACGTCGTGCATTATTTGCCGACGTTGGGACTGGTTGGAAGAAGCAGAGAGGTGGTCAGTGTATGACATGGTGTAGTGGTATGGAAAAAAGCTACAGAGGACTAGCCTCTGTCGGTCCTTCTCGACACCCAGGCTGGGGTCCAACGGATAATGGAACACAGTGGCTAGAGACGTTATCAGATACGGCTCAGAATAGAAGCCGGTGGTGGTCCTGCTGTAACCTTCTTTTACTTTCTTGACAAAAAAATGGTTGTATCTTCCTTAACTGAAAGATTTCTTCTGATTGTACCTTTCCGTTCCCTCATTATTACTATTATTATTACTGCAATACCTTACACCAACCTCTTCGTTATTGTTCTCTTCTTTTTCATGCCCCTTACCTTTTTGTTCTTTCTCTTCGAATTCTCATTGTTTTTTGTGGCGCATATATATTGGCGCTCTCTTGTACCCTTTTTTATGTGTTCAAATAAATAAATAAATCTGTTCAGGCATACCATACTGTTGAAGGATGTTAAATAACGTTCACGTATCCACACTGAAATGCCTCATAGTCAAGGAAGTTGGTGCATAATGACGAATTTCATTCAATTGATCGTTCAACAATGATCCGTAGTGTTACGATTTGGTCTGCGTACGAAGGCCCCTAAGGATCCCGGACTGTTGATCTTGAAGCTGGGCATCTACTTAACCTCTCGTCCAGTTTAGCAACACTGTTGAAAGCTTTTCCTGGTACCGAGAGTGGTGTGATTCTTCTTTAGTTCTCAAATTTGCTTAGATCTTCTTTTGTTATCTTGATGAGATATCCTTCTTTCTAGTCTGTCGGTGCAACTTGTTCGTCATGTCAAATCTTCCTAAATCGAACGTGGAGTATGATTGCAGTTACTTCTGTGTATGACTTCAGTGCTTCAGGTGGTATGTTGTCAGGTGCCACTGCTTTCCCATTGTTGATTTGTCTGATGGCCATTCTGACTTCTTCGATCGTTGGTGGAATGACATCTGTAAGATAGTCTGTAGGTGCTGCTATCCTTAGCTGCCGAGTTTATCAGTATCCCAAAGGAAGGTTATATTAAACCTTTTAATGCTGTTTCCCTAGTTATCCAGTGCTTCTCTAGCTTAAGTCTTATCTTGGAATCAACCAGGTGGTTTCTGAAGTTGTCATCTTCCCTATTTGCTATCATGTCTTCCATTGACCTGAATTTTCTAATGATGTAAATATGGTCAATCTTGTTCTCTGTAGTGTAATGCGGTGAGACTTATTTAGTTTTGTGTATGCGTTTGTGGGGGAATATTGAGCCACCCATTCTCGTTCCTTCCTTCCAGTCCATGTCTTCCAATGATATCTTCATTCCCAATGTTGTCCATTCCGACTTTGACGTTTAGATCTCCCATCAGGATGGTAAGTTCCTTTACTGGTCACTTCTTCACGATCAACTACAGCCTCTCATAAAACTGCCTTAGCCATTTTATATTTATGATGCTTGGATTGAGTACTCTCTGTTAATAATTTATCTATCATCACCATCTTTGTATCACTGATTTCGGAGTTAAGTTAGTGAATCAATTCACACTGGATGTATGTATTGACATAGACAAACGAGAATTGCCTTATTGAGGTTTAAAGCTCTGGTGATCATCACTGGTCTCTGCTGACGATCTATTTTTTACTGAAAATTTTTCGAAATAAGCAAAATACGCATGTTTGTCTATTTTTACGGAAGATGATGTCAATTTGTGTATAGATGATCCGAGGAATAGTTTTTCTGCAAACACTTTAATACCTTTATTTAACAAAGTAGTATGTATATACAAACAAGTCTTGAAAGTAAACCTAAAAGTTATTGGAATTATCAAGGGTCTCAGAATACCAACCAATCGTTTTTATAAATCAGCCACTTGATTTATTTCTCGCAACTGCACTTAAAATGTATTATTTGTTATTTTACGCAATTTAGACTGTCTTGGCTTGTAGTAGATGAATGCGATAAAATGCTAGAAGTCAATTTCAATGATATATCTTTTTCTAACACTGAACATGGTAACAAGGCAAAACACCGACCTCGAGGATTTCATAATCAAGTTGCGCCTATTTTTGAATCTATTCAGAAAGTAAACCTCACTGGACAATCAATTAAGAGACCTACAGTCGCTTTGTTTTCGGCTACTGTTCCTGATGAAGTTGTTTCATGGGCACGAAATCAGTTACCTGTTCTCTTAAAATCGGACGGTCCGGAATATGAGTTAATTCAGTTACGAGTAGGTATCCGGTAAGTAAGGGATTGTCAGTAACAGTCCTGAAAAACTTGTTTATCCTACTTTATGCTTGGGTAGTAGTGTTGCGCTGTTTAATGTCCTCAGTTTTGTAGTCATAACCTGTATTTGTGTGTTTTTACTCTAAGGGTAAATGTGAATTTCTGGTTAGGTAACCATGTACTTTATACGAACTAATTCTTTCTTCCTGTACTATACCCTTATATGCAGTCTTTTTTTATATACTACCACCGTTGAATTAACTACTTCTATGAATCCGGTGTTCATCTTGTTGTGCTAATGAGGTATGTCAACTTGTACCGATGCATATATTTGCCTGGTCCTACGTTGTAGCTAACTGACTAACTAAACTATGTACTAAGTTTCGGTATTCTTAAGGTTCTACTGACGTCAGACTCTTCTTAGTACGTTATTGTCTACTAATTTGTTCGCCAGATAACTTTTCGCACAATGGTTGGTAATTTTTATGCATGCACATGGTCGTTCAGAAGCAAAGCATCTACTTATTGCAAAGTTATTCAGATTTTTTTAATTTCATAAATAGTTGTAGAAGGGGAGTGTTACGAAAGTTTAAATTTGCTATGAAAGTTGTCATGGCATTCAGCCGCTGTGGTGTGACTACAGTTTACTTGTTAGTTAACAAATAAGCAGTAAAGTGTGGAAAACAGTTGCAATGTAATCTCAATTAATTTTTTATTATTGCAAAAATAATGGTCTAATGAATATGCTTTCTTGAAGATAATCAAGCCAACGATAGAAGTTCGACCTATCTTTTGATTCATCAAACCATTGTATTTTAAACATCAATTCATATTTTGAAATATAATTCAAGGAAACGTAAACTCTTGGTTGAATGGATATTGGTTCTCATGCAGCAGTTTATTAGTTCCAGGTGTAGTATGATAAAATGTATTACAATAATAAGTTAAATATATTGTATTCCTGGGTTCAATAGTTAACGGATACTTATTAAGTAGTTGAATGCTCTTATTTTTCTAAAAATATAACTTGAGAGAAAATAACTGCGCTCTCAAGCAGGATTAGCTGTCGTCACCACTTAAGCTTACTTCCTTTTAACCTTACTTTCGTCGTTTCTAAGTTTACAAATTTTATGTACTTTTTTTCTAACCACTTGTATAGAAATGCTGCTGTTTCTACTGTCAAACAAGAGTTACGTTATTGTGCTACAGAACAGGGAAAACTGTTAGAGATGCGTTATCTACTGGCTGATGGACTAGCTTATCCATGTTTAATTTTTATGCAGTCTCGAGATAGAGCCAATGAAATACTTAAGGAAATTCTATTGTCTGATGCAGATATTCTTGCGAATGTTATTTCAAGTGACAAAACAGAAGCACAAGTATGTATACATTTTTAGGGAGAAATTTTTATGTTAAAGCTTATTTTCCTGCTTGGTGATGACTGTAGTAGCAGTGTAGTGTGTGCTATTTGTGCTGACAGATATAAGTAGTATGTAGCCGCAATAGGAAATGGAATGCCTGGCAGCAGCACATTGAAATAACGAGAACAGAAGGAAATCGACGAGCAATCGAAATAACAACAGAATTAGAGGAATAGTGGAGTATGTAAGGGACAATGCAAAGAAGCTGTGTGAACGACGTATTTAATGTATGATTTTCATATTTTACAAGAGTGCTGTGTGATTTTACATTAAATAGTTTTCTTTCACTGCAGTAGTAGTCACAAAATATTCATTACAATGTGAAATTATTAAAAAGATCCTTTTTGAAAGTTCATGCCCTATAGTTTGGTTTATTCATGGTTTTCTTTGGTTATACAGTTTCTATTTCTTATATAAGAACTTAAAGTAGCATGTGATAGTTAGACCTAATGTCTTATCTAGCCACCTTGAAAAAGTACAACTGAACACTTAGAAGCAAATATAGCTAAATTCCACTCAGTCATATATTTGTAGATGAGTTACTTAGTAATTGGGGGAATTTAACTTTTTGTAGACTTTATGTTTGTTTATTCACAATTGATTTTGGTTTGTAACGATCAGTTTATCACTTCTGCAGATGTTCTATTTGGTTTCTTGCTTTATCACTGATCCTTATTAACATGTTTAGGTATCCTTTGAATAAAGGTAATGGAAAGTACTGTTCGCCGTCAACCCAACCACTCACCCAAGAAGAAGGTTAAGTCATAGTAAGAAAATGTGTATAGTATTAAGTAGAGAAAAACACTGTCACAATATCTCTGTGTATAAATGATAAATGACTTTGGACAAGTTAAATGTGAAGAAGTACTAGAATATGTCCTATTAATTTTATCTGGTATACATTTACGTACTCAACTTTGGGTCGCATATTTTTACAAGGCGCGTTGACGCTACTTTACTATCCAGACCAAAATATATCGAGTAAGCGGCGTCGAACCTGCGACCTAACAATTGGAAGTTCAGTGCCTTGACAATTTAGCGACTTCCATGACGAAAAGTTAACACGATAAATCGCATATTCGTGGTATAAAAGTTATAGTTCTATCAAATGTTATTTAATACGCAAGTCAATGGAATGGTTATAATTTGTTGCTTTTTAGCTACTTAGTAGATTCGATGAAGTTTCCTTTTTTTTTAAAGCGTGCCAGTGTGATTCGCGCTTTCCGTGAGGGACAGCTTCATGTTCTTATTTGCACGGATCTGTTGGGTCGTGGAATAGACTTTAAAGTATGTTTTTGAAATTAAACTGATTAATTTATGTTTTTTATATAAACTTGAGTGCTGTTAGAGGTATGAGGGCGGTTATCACTTCCCGGTTGCCCACACCGTGGAAGGGTTGTTCTGGAGGTGCCTGAAAAGGAAATTGGATTAAAGGTGGTCTTAGTGACCTGAGAGCGTGACCGCAGTGCCCAAGGGACAACTGCTTGAGGTCGGTCACATACGACCTTTTTATGGGCAATTTTTGTGTTAGCTCCGTACTTGTTGAGACCTTACCGCCGGAGACGGATATCCGTGGGATAAGGCGAGGTGTGCATTTTTAGGGTCGACCTTTTCTAACCCCACCCCTCTTTGTGGGAAGGCAGCATCGCTGTCATGCTGGTTGTCTGAAGGAAACACCTTACTGCTGCCACACCTCTGTACAGTCAGCAGTACGACTTCGCCTTCGGACCTTGGGTTTGTTGCTTTTAGTCCTACCGCTCTTCAACCAACCTGTCTGACATGGTAGGACCTTGAGGAACAGTTGTTCCAGTCAGTATAGCTCGGTCGCTTCATCACGATAGGCAAGCCTGACTACCACGTCAAGGTAGTAACAATGGTCAATGGCTCAGAATCGTTCACAATGGCGTCGGTGTATACACTCTCTGTCTTCCATTAAACTAAGAGTTTAAAATCGCTTCATATCTTTCTTTCTACGAACTAATTCTTCCTTCCTGTACTATATCTTTATATGCAATCTTTTTTTTTATATATTACCACCTCTGAATGAACTACTTTTATGAATCTGGTGTTCATCTTGTGTTAATAAGGTATGGCAACTTGAACCGATGCATATATGTGCCTGGTCCTATGTTGTAGCTGACTGACTTTATATAAACTATATCAGAAAGACTAATCATATATCGTCTTTCTTACCTTTATGTCATTTTGACCCTCGATTAATAATAGTATAATCGCCTTATATTTGATTACAGTAAAGAATTCTCACCATCATGTGTTAAATGTATACTAGAAGAAACTGCAAGTGCTCGATATATCCCCTCGAAGCATCATTAGCATGTAACGATGCAGAACATTTCTACTTGGGGATTAGTTGAGGTTTATTAATTGCACGGCATTTCAAGGGACGACTTATGTTTATGGCAATAAATATACAAAGTATAAACGGATAGAACGTATGCTGGTCTAACGTGAAGTTGTCTTTGAATGTCCCCAGTCTATGAATTCACTTATTTGAGAATCTTATTAATGAGTTCACATATCGATGATCCGCTTTTGGATAATGGTTAGTTATAAGCCATTCCGAACTCTGTATCGTTCAAACCTGCCTTATATTCTTAAATAAACAACCACTGATAAGACGCGCGACATACTTTCTACCTGAATCAATGGAGGAAAACGTTTTAGGGCGAACACGCTTAAATCCATAGACGTCAACATTTTGCTCCAAATTATTATTACTACCAGGATGGACCACTGTACTGTTTCTTTACACGGCTTTTGTGTTTAATACTTGCATTAACGTTACTCTCAATACATTTTATTTTCACTCACTCAACGTCAAACATAATGGCAACACTTGAAATCCATTAGAATCCAATGTTGATTGCTCATTATATGTTGTGAACTTATTTAAGTTGTTCTGCTTCATATTTTGCCATCAATTATTCCTGTTCTTCATTGGTGGTCAATACTATAGAGAAGCACTCCTGAAAGGATGAATCTACAGTGTACATAAATGAAAGTTTACTACTCAGTTGTGTTAATTATGATGTATGCTTCGAGTACTAACACCTATAGTTTCACTGTCCTTAATTGTCTAAATATTTACAGAATTTTTAAATATATTCTATGGTTACTAGGGTGTCAGTATGGTAGTCAATTACGATGTTCCTCCGTTAAAACAAGAATATATACATCGCGTCGGTCGAACTGGCCGAGCTGGTCACCATGGACGGGCTATTACCTTGTGGACTGATTCTGATCTACCGCATATGGATGGGATATTATCTGTGATGAAAAGGAGTGGTTCTGAAGTCGATGAAGAACTCGAAAGACTTGTGAATGAATGGAAGAAACGGCGGGTAAATCTTATGTGTAAGCAATCAAGGGCTGATAGGAAACAACTTCTAGACAGTTCGATTAGTCGTCGGCGTGGTGAAAGACGCCTTGCTTATAAGTTGCTTAAAGACTGTAACAAAGAAAAGAATGCAGAAAATGTTGATATTCACGATAAGTAAGTGCACTCAGTCTTTTGTTCCTTCAGTTTTACCTAATACTGTCAAGTAAAAAAGAAAGCACTGGATTTTCTTTTAAGCAGTTGAACAAAACTAGATAGAACAACATGTATAAGTGAACAATATTGCTTTACTCCAATATACAGTAATATTTATATGCAAATACGGAAATGTTAAATATTATTATTAAATATTACTGTATATTAGAGTAAAGCCTGATGAGGATCTTATTGGAAACATTATTATTCGCTGATATATGTTCTAAAACTAGATAGCTCAAATTAATTCATAGTAGATGACTATAATTTACAAAAGAACACTTTTGGTCTTCTGTACAGAAATATTTCGCGGATTGGTGGTTTTTATGTCATACTCATTGACGTTTACATAAGTCACAAACTTGAACGTATACGTTTTCTGTTTCACTTAAAGTATTTACCAACTGTGAGCCTCGAACCGTTATGCAAATAGATGACGTAATTAGTCACCCTCACTAAACCCGTATGGTATAACAGAGCGTACTGACCACCTGGTTTCCGGAAATTTGTTAACTGTTACGTGGTTATACATTTCTAATAAGCATTTCGATTATGATGGAATATCCTTATTGTTCACCTCTTGCGATGTCTGTGTAGTATTAGTTTATCCAATAAATACGGTCAAATATTTTGTATTATTGTGTCATTAATAATGGTAATATGTTTCTCTTTCTATATATATATATATTGTTTTGTTTCAGGAGCTCGTGGTTTAGGCCATGGAATCCTTACAGAGGTCGTATAAGTGAAGTACCCGGTGCGCTAAGCAAAAAACGCAAGATTGAATAGTAGATTTGTAATGTGAAATTACTTTCCTTAATCATCCAATTCAAAGATAAATTATCCATAAACTACCTTATTTTCATGCATAAAAAGATGAGAGAACATGAAAAGTTTAAAAATTTGTCGATGAGTTATGGAAGAAAACAAGGGAGTTACGTAGTACAAATAAATAGTTTATAAAGACTTGGTAACATGCCTTACGAAATTATAACTAATTTTTGTGAATAGGGTCTATCTGAATGATAGGATGAAATAAGTTTGAAGTAATCTACTTCACAATGTAATCACAGATCGAATTAAAGGCTTTCCAAAACGTAATTCTTCAGAAAGTATACGTTCCATTTCTTCTTTGTAAGTGTAGCTTGGGGGAACCCAACAATATTTCTTTCGTTTTTTGTGAGGTGTAGATTTGTTCTTTACATGTTCATCAGTTGTTGATTCATTATCTACAGATGCACTTGTATTTAGAATTCGATTGATTTGGGTATCTTCATCCTCGTTACTATGTTCACAACCAGTAGAGGTTCCAATAATAGTATTACTAACACCATTTAAAAAGCGGCAAAAATCGATTCGTAGATAAGGTGGATTACTGATGTGGTTTTCTGCTGCAGTCCCGTCAGAACCTCCAGTTTCTGCATCTCTACTTAAAAAGCAAAGGTTAGAATAGTGTATATTTACCAGAAAGTTGTTGTATTTGTATTTCCAGTGTACATTCTTAGTTTAATGGTAGGTTTTAACTTATCTTAAGCTAATTCAGATAAGCTGAAAATAAAATGAGTGGTGTGTGAGTCTGAAAACGACATTACTTTATTCCGCGGAGGTTCAAAAGACTCAATGAATCTTATTCATAAAATGTATGAGTACGGTAACAAAAACCAGCGGGCATTCCCATTAAAATTTGCTATATCGCACTATAGGTACCAAGGCAAAGGGATCAGATGATGGACAGACATTCGAACGACTAGGTTAATACTTTGATGTCTTATTCAAGTACATAAAAATGAGTAAAACACGAAACTAAATGGGCGTTGTGTTTTGATGCAAGGTAAGGTGTGAAAATGACTAGTTGCATTTAATGTCGAGGGGTCAAAACATGCTCCCTACTCACTATGATCTATTCTCATAACGATTACTTAAGATAATTCAAATAAAATAGTTCAGCATTAGCGTCTTGACAAAGTGAGTTGGCTTTTAAAGTCCCCTGTAAGTTATTTATATATCTATTACTTACTTACTTTAGCCTGGTAGAGAAGTAAAGGCCACTCACTAACATTCCTTAGCAAACTCTGCCCTGGGAAATCCTTCCCAGTTGCTATTCATTCTCTTGATATCCGCCTTTGATTCCCGACGCAATATATCCCCTCGTTTTCCCCTTTACATTTTCCTGTCAGGATTAAGAATCTTGCGTAGATGATTGTTTAAATATACTTGTACACTTTTGATGACGGTTGTGGTAGTTCTCAAGGTTTCGGCTCCGTACACTAGAACTATCTCGACGTTCATATGGGAGATTCCGACTTTGGTGTTGGCTGACAGTTGTTTTGAGTTCCATATGTTTTTCAACTGTAGTAGTGCTGCCCTTACGTCTGGATCAGATCCTCTTTTTTCGTCGATGATGCTGATCACGTACGTGGAAATTCCCACATCTACCAGAGCTTCTCGATCAAGTGTGATTGGATTGGCGTTCTCTGTGTTGTATTTGGAGATCTTGGTTTATCGCTTATTCATGTTGAGGCTTACTGCTACAGAGGCTGCTGCTACACCAGTTGTCTTCACCTGCATCTGTTGGTGTATATGAGATAGAAGAGCTAGGTCATCTGCAAACTCTGTTGAAAAATTTCCTGGTACTGATAGTAGTGTGATTCCTCTTCGGCTGAGCAAATGTTTTATTTATAATAGCTGCTGAACGAAAGCAGATTTTAGTTATTTTATCTCATTAAACTACAGGATATATTTACTAAAAAGTGGTCATAACTGTGGATGATTATTTAAGAAACTACTGCACACTTACAAGGCGTCATCTCCAGTTGTATCATTTTGCACATCATTTGAATTTGTCCTGTTTGAGCTGATATCTTCAGTAGGTGAATTTTGATTTGAAACTTGTGATCTGTCGTGGCCTATCTCAGCGTGATTTATCAAATAGTGCCTGTACATTCCCAAAAGGAAGTGTAAAGAAAAGCATGTAGGCATTAGTCAACTTTACTACAAGCGGTTCATATAAATAAACAACATGCACGATATATCATTTACGAAACTAAATTTTCATTCAACAAGAAAATATTGTTAAATAATAATTCATGCTAAGCTTGGCAGTGTCAATGAATTTCATTCAAGAAAGGAGCGCTACATCCAACTTTTATTGTTTCAAATGCTCCACTAGTATTCCTATTTTGGATTTCATTACCTATTGAATTTGGATTTTTTTTAATTATCTGTATAATCGATTTAAATTTGAACCGAAAATCGATTACAAATCCGGTTAATACGTGACACCAAGCACGCTATGCTGTAGTGTATAGTCGTGTACGAACTTGTGAGCTTGATGACTCAGTACATACATTTTTGAGAGTTAATAAAAATAAATGACCGTTTATGTTTTGTTGGATAAGTTTAAATTTGAAATGCATCCTTTGAATATATATAAATTTTTTATATCCATCGTGCATTACAATAATCTCAATAAGTATTCTGAATCTAATGTGGGAGAACGACGCTAATAGTACAATAATGAACAGTAGTTCCGAAATACTGACTTAGGGTAACTTGTTACCCTTGATTTATTTTAAATCGAACTGGTGTATGAGTGATCGTTCTATCATGAGGTCTACTTCTTGCGTGTAACGTATTCAAAATAATAAACTGTAATAATTTAGGGAGTTTTGTCGAAAGAAAAACCAAATGTTTTGTAGATTTATCACAATACACTTAAATTTGATCGTACACCCAATAAGTACGAAACTCCGCATTTCCAAAACACCATACACTTAAAAACCACATGTTTAGGCTAGACGAACAATAAGATAAAGATTCAAACAGTAAGATATTTCTTGTTTAAAAACAGATAAATTCAGTTTTATAGATCATAATTCTGTTTCTTCAGTGAGTTAAAAATAATCCCAAGAAAGTAAATTTTATTTATTTGAACACATAAATATTGGTACAAGAGAGCGCCAATATATATGCGCCACACCAAGAAAGTAAAACACTCGAAGCTACTGAAAAAGGTAGTTCAACGTCGTTAATAAAATTTATAAGCCATATTTTTAATAATGAACGTCGGATTTGAGTCTATTCATTGAAGGACGAGGTGTCAAATTTGGTTAAGTGTGTAATTGGATACAATTATTGCAATTTTCTTCCTATATTTCTACAACAAAAAATGTCTGTTATATTTGTTCTTGATACACATACCCACCCCCTCAACTGGAGTATGGTCAACTAACCGTAGCTGCTATGTTAATGTAGTAGTCGGTTCCACTTAGTCAAATATCACTTAGTTAAATATACTAACCATCAAACAAAGAAGAGCGGATGGAACGAAAGCGACAAATGTAATTCCTGGTGACAAGCTAATATTGCTAGCTGAAGCGGGATATATCTGCTAAAAGCCATACAATGTCGATAAGCACAATCCTCAATGATACAACTTTACTGTTAAATGGATGAGAATACGTCATCCACGAGTACTATGGTATCCAGTCAGTTCCAAAGAAACTTTGCTTTATGGTGTAGGAAAACAATTTTAGATCAATAAAAGCCATCCACTTAGCAAATCCGGTTTTCAGCTTTTAGAAAAAAAAGTCATACGTTAGCAATATATGAAGCAAAAAAAATAGCTGTAAACATTTTTGCTAAAAGTACATAGGATACAATGAGTTAAACGAGGAAAATCAAACTATGTCAAAAAAGTTCTTATAGGATACAAAATTTGTATCAATCTCCTTATATATTCTTCTTCCTCTCTCAGGGAAATGCAAAATGCTTATGATAAAATTCGATTCATTTTAAACATTCCACCTCTTGTCAAATTTAGTATTGCTATAAAAAGATAGTGCGTAAGGACAAATGCAACACATACAGATAGGCTAAACGTCTATGATTACCATACATATAACCAAATATGCATTTAGAAAAAAGTAAAATATCATGCAAATAATAAAGAAAATTGTATTAATTAACAGAGGTTTATAAAAATTCATTTTCAATAAGTATGTACACGTATATACAGAAATTCGAATCACAAACTTATATTACACGATATTTTATGATATTCATGTTATACTAGTAGGTAACCAGATTCTACTAAAGTTTTGTCGGTTTTATCAATAGGATGAATCAGCAGCGTGTTGGTCTGTTAGTTTTCAATAGTAATTGGCAAGAAATCCTATACGACCTAGGGATCGTAAGTGTTGTTATAAACTGGTAAAGAAGAAAACTCCAATAGTTGAAATCATGAGTCGATTGAAGCTAGACCACCATGGAAACACTGGACGGCCGTTTCGTCCTAGTATGGGACTCCTCAGCAGTGCGCATCCACGATCCCGCCCTCCTCGAGATTCAAATCCAGGACCTACCAGTCTCGCGCGCGAGCGCTTAACCCCTTCTAATAAAGAGGAAGACGCTAAAAAACGTTATACTTTCTCGAAAATTAGAACCTATTGCTGTCTAATCTGTAGACAAAATGTTTGGTCTAAATGATGTCATTGATTATTTGTCAATGATTGATATCATGTTCTCTTGACTTAGTATTAAGATTTTTAACACCATATACTTCTGAACTGTAAATTACTCTAGTGAAATTAAGTTATTACACAGAGAATATTTAAATGTATTGAAAATAGCTTATTTACAGCTTCAAGAAATCCTCTTGCGATTATTTCATTAGATGATTTAAACTGTAATTAATTATACTTACTGTAAACATAAATCTTATGTATCATAAAAAGGTGGGATTATATAAAAACAGAAATATATGAATTGGTAATATGAGTAAGGAAATATGGCACAGGATTAACAATGAAACCATAATATTAACTAATGTAGTAGTCAATCCATGAAATGTTAATGATAAGAACCTTAATTTATAATTAACAATATCTTCAAGAGGAAATGCAATGTTATGATCACATTTAAAACAAAAAAACACTATGAAGTGATGGCTTCATTGTCGCGTAAATAACTTTCAGATCATTTTAAAGCATGTATGTACGCATGAAGTGACCTCGTTAATCGAGGTGGAATTACGAAATACTAGTGAAAACGTTTCTTAGAGAAGACAAAAAATACCATGATATATAAACCCAACACTAATTCTTCAAGGTACTGATGTTACCTAGTTTGCAAGTAAGTAATGTATTTGGTACTCGATACGATCATCTGTTGAGAAACAATATACACTTGTCATTTTTTTCACTTACATATTCTGTAAAAAGTGATTGAATATTACGTTAAATGATAGATGATGTTCGAATATAAAAGTCAGACTGTATTGGAATTAGAATTATTCTGACAGTTTATTACCCTCTCTTTGAACACGGTGTTCAGATGTAAAATGAATCACAATTAGCATTACGTTCTTTTTATACGGAATGGATGGAATGTGCCCATTACTGGAATCCAGGACGGACGTTTTATCCTATTTGGGACTCGTCAGTCAGATGTGCCAGTAACCCAAATTCGATGTTCACTCCGGGACTCAAACCCGTTGCACAAGTGAGTGGTTATCCGGACTCAATATTAAGTGGATAACGCGGTGGTGTATGAACCAAATTGTACTGGGTTTAAGACCCGGGATGAGCATGAACTTTAGGATGCAGATACATCCAGCTGACAAGTCCTAAATAGGACGAAATGCGCGCCTTAATTCCAATGTTAACCACATCCCATCTATTCTATATCAACTTGTGTTATAATGGGTATATCGAGGCAATCCCTACATATCAAGTTTCAAACAAAAATATCAACAATGGGATCGTCCAAATCAATAATCCATACGAAAAACACGCTCTTCAATTTAAGTTTAGGTCGAAGGATATTCAACTTACGTCTAAATTGGTTTGAATATCATACGGTTGTCCACAAAATATAGAATAACAGTCAGTCATACTTTCCAAGATAAAATGTATACACTAGTATGTAAATATTTATTCTCAATATCTTTCTTTGAACGGAGTAAGCACATGAATGTCACCGCCACCTGTAACTGGCAGATCTTACTGATCGAAATGATCGATATTATTCAGGTATGAGTGAACAACCAGAAATGAAATCATACAACTGCAGTTATAAAACATTTCGGTTAGCTCGATGAGGATGACATAAATATATAAATTAGTCATAAACTATTTGTCGTACAATCTATAGCCAAATCTAGCTATTACGAGTTCTGACCACTAATCAGATCTTAATTCTACTGCAAACAATGCGCTTTGCAAATCAAGTTTATGAAACATTTGAATCATATCTCGTTTTTGCTATTCAGTCAGAACAGAAGATAAAATATTACTGGCCTACAAATGTACTGAAAACGCCTGAAATTATTACAATCAACATTTCTAGTTTAAGATTATAATATCAGTATAAAACAGATTACTACCTATCAAAGTGAATAGATGTTTATTTTTAGCAAACATTTTTTCAATGCCTTAAGAAATACGAATAACAAACTCACAGAAATCGAGCCATTGAGCAGTTTTGTGAACCTGGAATTCTAGGTTGTAACACACTTTCACCACTTTCCCTACTTGGTCCATCAAGTTCTTCTATGTCAGCATTGTTCATCAAAGTATCAGAATCTTCATTTGTATCACAGCTTGTATTTGCTTCATCATCCCCTTCTTCTTCTTCTACTTCTTCCATATGGCCAAGTATGGGTGGACCATTATGACGAAACTCGATGACATTTCGAAGAAGGCTGCGTATTATGCGAGCAGCTAGTTGTTCCAATGATATCACATTTGGTTTAGGAGCTATAGTTATGAAACGATGTGCATATTTATTAAACGTTTATTTAAATTTACGAAACAAGTAGACCAGTAACATGTGACAACAAATTTCTTCAAATATATTGGACGTGCATCATTAGTCAACGAGATAACCATGAAATCTATTTTACACGACTGTTGTTGCTACCTTGACGTGGTAGTCAGGCTTGCCTATCGTGATGAAGCGACCGAGCTATACTGACTGGAACAATTGTTCCTCAAGGTCCTACCACGTCAGAAAGGTCGGTTGAAGAGCCGTAAGACTAAAAGCAACAAACCCAAGGTCCGAACTCGAACTGCTGACTGTACAGAGGTGTGACAGCAGTAAGGTGTTTCCTTCAGACAACCAGCATGACAGCGATGCTGCCTTCCCACAAAGAGGGGTGGGGTTAGAAAAGGTCGACCCTAAAAATGCACACCTCGCCTTATCCCACGGATATCCGTCTCCGGCGGTAAGGTCTCAACAAGTACGGAGCTAACACAAAAATTGCCCATAAAAAGGTCGTATGTGACCGACCTCAAGCAGTTGTCCCTTGGGCACTGAGGTCACGCTCTCAGGCCAACAAAGACCACCTCTAATCTAATTTCCTTTTCATGTACCTCCAGAAAACCCCTTCCACGGTGTGGGCAACCAGGAAGTAATAACCTCCCTCATACATCTAACAGCACTCAAGACCATTGTATTCCTAATCAACCTCCCTCTTCAATTCCTATTATTCCTCCTACATCAACTTCCAACTCTAAACTTCTTTTTTCAGCTTTCCCCTCAAGTGTCACCATAGCCAACGATTCTAGTGCTCAAAACTGTGTCCCAGGTCTACTGAAACCTCGCTCCACACTACACATTGGAGCCTTCAACGTACGAACCCTATGTCAAATCAGTCAGCAGGCTTCCTTGGCTAAAATCCTAGAATCTCGTACCATTGATGTATGCTGTGTGTCCGAAACACGCATACAGGGTCCCAGTGTGGTCATTCATTTGACCTCACCTCGGCGAAACGGAGAACCAACGAGATACACCCTCCGTGTATCTGGTGACCCGATGGCCAGCTCTCGTGGACTGGCAGGAGTAGGGATAGCACTAAGCATGAGGGCTGAATAAGCACTTTCAGAGTGGATCCCCGACCGAAGCTGCTACCTTGACGTGGTGGTCGGGCTTGCCTATCGTGATGACCCAACCGAGCTATATTGGCTAGAACATATGTTCCTGTAGGTTCTACCATGCCAGGCAGGTCGATTGGTGAACGGTAAGACTAAAAGCAGCAACTCAAAGTCTGAGGGCGAAGTCGTACTGCTGACTGTACAGAGGTGTGACAGCAGTAAGGTGTTTCCTTCGGACAACCAGCATGACAGCGATGCTGCCTTCCCACAAAGAGGGGTGGGGCTACAAAAGGTCGACCCTAAAAATGTCACACCTCACCTTACCTCACGGATTTCCGTCTCCGGCGGTAAGGCCCTTTGAAGGACGGAGCTAACACGTCAAAAACCTTCTACAAAAAGGCCGTGCGCGACCGGCCTCAAGTAGTTGTCCTTTGGGCTCTGCGGTCACGCTCCCAGGTCGTTAAGACCAACACTAATCCAATTTCCTTTTCAGGTTCCTCAAGAAATACCCTTCCACGATGTGGGCAGCCGGGAAGTGACATCAGCCCTCATACCCGTAACAGCACGCGAGACCAAGTTGGTCACATTCAAATCCTTCCTACACCTAATACCTCTCTTATCTCCATGACTAACCCTCCTCACGTCTCTTTATCACCTCGCACCGCTAGGGCAAACGATTCGAGTACGTGGAACGCTATTCCTGGTCTCCTGAAACCACGCTCTAAACTACACGTAGGAGCTTTTAACGTACGAACACTGTGCCAAATAGGACAGCAGGCTTCCTTAGCTAGGACTTTAGAATCTCGCGACATCGATGTGTGCTGCGTCTCCGAAACGCGCATACAGGATCCAAGTAGCATCATTCATTTGACCTCACCATGCCAAAATAAAGAACCGACTCGATTTACGCTTCGTGTATCTGGAAGCCCTGATTCTGCTTCCCGTGGCCTCGCCGGCGTAGGTATAGCATTGAGTCCTAGGGCAGAACTAGCTCTCTTAGAGTGGATCCCAGTAGAAAGTCGTTTGTGCGCTGTCCGACTGAACGGAACAGTAAGAATCCGGAAAGATAGGGACACTCGTCGTTGCCTCTTCGTCGTCTCTGCCTATTCTCCCACTGACTGCAGCTCAGATGATGTAAAAGATGAGTTTTACAGAAAGCTTTCCGACCTTCTCCGAAAAGCTAAGCGCTCGGATGTAGTAATAGTGGCCGGTGACTTTAATGCTCAAGTAGGTAAACTAAGCAATAGGGAAAGACACCTGGGTGGATCTTATAGTATCGTGGCTCAAAGAACAGAAAATGGCGACCGTCTGTTGCAGCTATGCTCAGATAACCGCCTGTTCCTTGCAAATACTAACTTTAAGCATAAGGAAAAACATCTTTTAACATGGCGACCCCCTAATTCGTCCCAACGTTGGACCCAAATAGATCACATCGCCATCAGCCAACGATGGAGGGGCTAGATAGAAGACTGTCGCTCATTCTGGAGCACATGCCTAGATTCAGATCATGCTCTAGTACGAGCGCGTATTTGCTTGCGTCTTACTGGACGTAGGAAAGACGCTGCAAGGAAACCTCTTAGGGGCCTACTTAATGATAGTCAAGCTAAGAGTATATTTCAGGAACAACTAGAAAAATAGTTAGGCAGATATGTATGTGATGCCCACCCCGAGGTAGCATGGAATGATATCCGAAAAGCTGTGGAAACAGCAGTGATATCTGCTAGTAAGGTAAACCAGAAGGTTAGGGAGCAACACTGGATCTCAGCAGCATCTATCGCACTGATAGATGCTCGGAAACTCATTCCACCTGACTCTGAACATAGTGAAGAGCGGAGTCAGCTTAAGCGCAAGCTGACAAGAAGTCTACGCAATGATCGCGAACAGTGGTGGGTAGCGAAAGCAAGAGAGATGGAAAAGACAGCGGCAATAGGTAATAGCAGACAATTGTTCAGACTCGTTAAGGAAACCGGAATTAGGAACCCGACCGTTAGCGAAACAATCTCAGAGAAAGATGGACATATTATTCATTCCCAATCAAGGAGATTGGATCGATGGGCAGAACACTTCAGGGATCAGTTCAACTGGCCTTCAGCCACACTTCGGTTTTTCACGATCTCCAGTCAACCTGAATGGCAAGTTAATGTAAGTCCTCCGACTCTTTACGAAGTTGAAAAAGCTATAGGAAATCTGAAGCGTGCGAGAGCAGCAGGCCCTGACAGGTTTACTCCTGAGATTTTTAAGGATGGTGGTCCAGTATTAGCAATGAGATTAACCGAGGTTTTAGGTAGAATTTGGGAACTGGACGTAATCCCATCTGACTGGTCTCAATCACTGATTGTGCCAGTTTATAAGAAAGGACAAAAGTCCTCTTGTGACAATCATAGAGGAATCAGTTTGACTAATATAGTGTCTAAAATATTAGCTTCAATAATACTTCGACGCCTAATCAAAGCTCGTGAAGAGCAAACTAGAGAAAACCAGGCCGGTTTTCGACCTGGACGTGGTTGTATAGATCAGATATTCACACTACGTCAGGTTCTAGAACACAGACAGACGTTTAGACGCCCCACAATGGTAGTATTTCTCGATCTTAAGGCGGCATTCGACTCTGTTGACCGTGAGGTTCTATGGCAGTGTTTGTCACTGAAAGGAGTACCAAAGAAGTACATTAACCTTATAAAGGCTCTCTACTCGAACACAACTGGTAGAGTGAGAGCTTATGGCGAACTGTCATCAGAATTGATTACCTCAAGTGGTGTTCGTCAGGGCTGTCCACTCTCCCCATTCTTGTTCAACTTTGTGGTCGACGTACTTTTAGAGATAACACTCTCCTCATCTAAATTTCCGGGGGTTGAACTTCTACCGGGAGGTTCACTTGTTGACTTAGAATATGCAGTTGACATAGTTCTATTTGGTGAAGACGCTGACAAAATGCAGAGTCTTCTGACCACTCTAAGCAACAATGCAAGCATGTTCGGGATGCGATTCTCTCCCTCGAAATGCAAAATGTTGCTTCAGGATTGGGTAGCATTGACACCCGAACTAGTGATAGGGAGTGAAGTAGTTGAGTGTGTCGACCGCTTCACTTATCTTGGAAGTCTCATCAGCCCTTGTGGTTTGGTGTGTGACGAAATCTCAGCACGGATACAGAAGGCTCGACTAGCTTTTGCCAACTTGCGTCATTTATGGCGTAGGCGAGATATCCGTCTACCAACCAAAGGACGTGTTTACTGCGCAGCAGTTCGTTCCGTTCTACTTTATGGCAGTGAAACATGGCCGGTAAGAGTAGAGGATATTCGTAGGTTACTAGTATTTGATCATAGGTGTCTTCGAAGTATTGCTCGTATATCCTGGGACCACCGAGTAAGTAACGCAGCTGTTAGGAAACGGGTACTAGGGAAGGATGGCAAATCAATTGATGAAGTAGTGAAACTTCATCAGTTGAGATGGCTGGGACACGTGTTACGTATGCCCAACCACCGACTACCTCGACGTGCTATATTCAGTGGTATAGGAGTAGGTTGTAAGAAAGCTAGGGGCGGCCAGACCAAAACATGGCACAAATCCATGAAGTCACTGACAAGTGGACTGAGTCATGTTGGTAGGTGTAGAATACCTGGTTGGGGACCGCGAGATGATAGCAATCGATGGTTAGAGACCCTGAATGACATGGCTCAAAATCGTTTGCAATGGCGCAGGTGCATCCACTCTTTGTGTTCTCCCAAATTCTAATTATCTGAATTCTTCATGTCCCTTTTTTCCTCTTTCCAAATTTATTTCATTGGATTATACTCCTTGAATAACATCTTCAAACCCTAATTTTTCTGATTAAAGCTTATAATTTTACTACATCTAGCACTACGGGATTTGAATCGACCACTGCA